CCCCCCCCCCCCCCCCCCTCTCTTCTACGTTTGCCAAACAAGAAAAAAGAAAAAAGAAACAGAATAGACCCGCAAGCAGGAGCAGAAGACTTGTCCCCATCTTGTCTAACACAAGCTTATAGAATGCGAGGCCAAGCCCCAACCCAAATTCACAAATCAAAAGATTTCTAATTCAATTACCGTTTAACAACAGCTGCATAAATCTGACAGAAAACCCAACAAAAATCACCATTAACCATCTACAGTTCCATCGTAACATCTAAATAGCCAGAAAAAAAAGAACATCAATCACCATCTAATAGAAACCGAGTTGTTTATTTTTAAATTCAAAACAAAACTAAAAAATCACCAACCACCTTGTAATAAAAAAGTGTCCAAACACCAAAAGATCAGAGACTTTTCAGGTTAGTACATCTCACATAGAGCAGTGTTTGGTAGATTGTTGTCTGAACCTTGTATCAAATCTGCCACGGAAAATCCAGCATTGTGTCCAGTCCCCTATCACCACCCAACAGCAATAGCAAGAGATGATCACTTGCTGCTTCCGCAGAAGTAAATNTGGTAGATTGTTGTCTGAACCTTGTATCAAATCTGCCACGGAAAATCCAGCATTGTGTCCAGTCCCCTAGCACCACCCAACAGCAATAGCAAGAGATGATCACTTGCTGCTTCCGCAGAAGTAAATACTATGATCACCGCTTCATACCAGTCCTAAAAACAAACTCCACACGAAGCAGGAAAACGGTTGGGTGAGCTCAGTCACTAGAATCTACACTTCCGCTATGAGAGCTACTCGCATTGCGACTGTGTAAAGAGAGGCCGCTCATGTTGCCATCTAGAGCAGAACCATCCAACTTGTTGTGTTGAAAGAATTTCTCCCTCTCAACATGTTTTGCAGGTGGGGGTGGAATTGCAACAGTTGGTTGAACGGTATCGGGTTCTTGTTTTGGTCCCACATTCAGTGGCCTTATAAGTGGACGGTGCAGCCTTTCCCCTGAAATGGAAGATGCAAGCAATCCCAAGGGCTGCTCTGTTTGGTGGTTTTCATCTTCAGGCAGTGCACAAGCTTTTCCTTTCCTCATCCTATCAAATTTGGAGTCAATTTAGAGATTGCAACAATGTTTTAACAAGAGAGAGCCACAAATCTACAAACTCGGATGTATGAACTATTAAATATGTTGGGGTATTTAACCATTTTCAGATGAGAGAAAAGGCAGAGCACTCTTGAAAAAAACTGAAAGAAAATCGGCTGACATTATGGACTCCAAACACATAATAAAAGGCTATGTAATCCAGCTCAATGTATGTAAACCTAGAATGGATGTATATGTGCAGACCTTCGGAATAGCTGTTGAGCCTCCTCTTCTTCCTCTGCTTGTTCATGGTTAAAATGATTTGATGCGGAGGTCAACCTACCAGAAATGAGTGCATCATGCCTAGTGAGAGCTTTCTCTAGCTGCTCATTCAGCTCAATTGCTCGAGAAACCACCTTCTCATCCCTGAGTAATACAAATCAAGAATCGATTAGACTTTTCAAATAGCAAACTACCCATGTTTATTCCATCCACTTCCATTTTTCTTAGCTATTTTTAGTCCACTTAAAGATAGCAATGTTATATCAGAATGTACACATAGTTATACATGTGGAATCTTGGTGGGATGTTTCTATTCCAATGCCCAAAACATGAAAGGATTGTTAGACAAGTTCTCATGCTTTAGGGGATCCCCTTGTAATAAGCTGAGGGATGTTTGTGTCATCATACACATAATACAGTGGTCTTTATTGCACTGGTGAACAGTCGGGGGGGGGGGGTACTCCATGTAACTAAGTGAGAGACAAACAGACGAAGAGCTGCTTGGCTCTAGCCCAAGATTACAGTACATATTATCCTGTAAACTATCTTAAAATAATCAATGAGAGTATAATTAACTACTTGCCCCTTGTTAAAGTAGATTGTCTCTAAACCAATCCATTTTTAGTTGGAAAACATCTTAGTATGACTTTCCAATTACAGAAAGGTCCACCCGAGCCCGACCCATGTATAGAACTATAGATGGGTTCAAAAGAACAACCCAAATAAATCTGCTTATTTTAATGGCAAGTTCATGGCCCAAACCCTTAATTATTACGGGTAGGTTCCGGTGGGTTGTTGGGTCAGATTAAGAATTGCCACTTCTTATCCTTCCTCGGGGATTATATAGGCAAACATGCATATATACGTTATTTAATGCACACATACAACTCAACCCAATATTGTCTTATCCCAACAATTTGGGTCCACTAAAACAATCATGTTGCACAAATGTATTCAATCGAAGGCATGTTACTTGGGGTATCATTTATTTGATTGTCAACATCACTTGGACATGTAAGTTTTAGTCAAAAGACAGACATTTTAAAACTGACATAGTAACCCCTTAATATTTTCAAGTTGTAATAGACATACTCGGCATAACAACTGTTGGGAGACTACGATGCATGATGATGCAATTCAAAAAAAACAAATATTTCCAAGAATGCCCCTCTTTAGTAACAAGACTAAAAATACATAAGAAAATTTTGCCCCCAAAAAATATGAAAAAAAACTATCTCCTCTAATTTAATTTAATTTATTTAAACAAATTTACCCTCCAACTAAAATCCAGTAACATTGAATTAACTATGTTAATTAAGTCAAGTTTGTTCCAAATACATAGTGAATTCAAATCAAATCTAAGAAATTCCATTACTTAAGTTAATTTTGGCTCAAATATAACACCACAAATCGAATCAACTCAATTTATTAAGCCAACTTCATCCCAAACTTAATCAATTTCTTTAGATCAAATCTAATCGATTCTTTTAATTAAGCCAAACTTATCTCCAAATTCAAATCAAATCTGGTTAATTTTGTTAATTTAGTTAACCTTGTCCTTAAATTTAGACAAAATATAATTAATTTTTTCAAGCCAAATTGATTCTCAACTTCAAATCAAATCTACTCACTTTATTTGCTACAAATTTATTCTCATCTTCAAATCAAATCTAGTCACTTTACTTGCAAAAAAAAAAATCTAATTATTTCTATCAATTAGTTTGTTAGAGTTCTCCTTTTATGTTATATAGTAGTTATCATGGTTTAGTATAAGCGTAATNTATCAATTAGAGTTCTCCTTTTATGTTATATAGTAGTTATCATGGTTTAGTATAAGCGTAATATTGTAATTATCCTAATCATAGTCTAATATAAATAAGAGGGTGTAAGGCAACATCGCCAACATTCTAAGATTATTATTTCTCAGTAGTTTTCTCTATTTCTATTCTCCTTTCCTCTCTTTTATTTTCTTTCTCAAAACCCTAACACCTATTTTATAAATTCAACTTAGTATCAGAGTACATCATCTCAGCAAAAAAAAAACTCATAACCAGAAGTCCTAGAAAAAAAAAGGGGTCTGTTCTTTACTGGCATCATCATTGGCGACAATGATGCCAGGTAGATGTTAGCCCTTTTCGATGACAAAGCCTATTGGTATCCGCTACTCCTACTAGTATTTATGGTATTTTTGCCAATTTTTTTNAAAGGGGTCTGTTCTTTACTGACATCATCATTGGCGACAATGATGCCAGGTAGATGTTAGCCCTTTTCGACGACAAAGCCTATTGGTATCCGCTACTCCTACTAGTATTTATGGTATTTTTGCCAATTTTTTTTAGGTCGTTTGGATTTTGTTTTCTATTTCTTTATTTTTTTTTTTGCAAAAAAAGGGTTTTGATTTTGCGATCTGATTGCCTAGACCAATCAGAGTTGTTTCGACGCCACATTTCATACCTGAAAGGTGCAATTAGGGCATACGGGGTCAACTGCGATCAACTCATGCCTTGATTGAGTTGTTTTTGTGGTTTAGAGGCTGTTAGCATTGAGTTTTCTTGGCTGGGTGTACTGTTTCATTGGGTTTCTTGGTTCCCAACGTGTTGAGGCTATGTTCTAAGGCTTGGGTTCCATTTTTTAGGTTGTGCATTGAGGTTCTTGGCCTGTACTAGTTTACTGGTTAAGATTTATTGCTCTAGGTTGCAAAGAGTTGNGACTGGGTGTACTGTTTCATTGGGTTTCTTGGTTCCCAACGTGTTGAGGCTATGTTCTGAGGCTTGGGTTCCATTTTTTAGGTTGTGCATTGAGGTTCCTTGGCCTGTACTAGTTTACTGGTTAAGATTTATTGCTCTAGGTTGCAAAGAGTTGTGTTTCTCTTGCTTTGTGGTTATTTTTCGGTTTGGATAGTTGTTTATTATGGTTGCTTGGTATCTATTGGTTTGGGATTTTTCTATGGCTGCTCCTGATGATAGTAAAAGTCCCTTAGAAGAAATCAAAAGTCACCCTATCAACGGTCAAGTTACTTCTGTGAGGTTGAATGGAATTAATTACCACTCCTGGTCACATGTTATTAAGGTGTTTTTGCATGCAAAGAAAAAGGTTAAGTATTTAACCGATAGTCCTCCTCCTTCAACCTCAAAGAATTTTGAAGATTGGTAGAGTAAGAATTCTATGGTAATGACTTGGCTGTGGCTTAATATGGAACCTTATGTAGCTTCTAGCCTTTTAATGTTCAGCTTCTTGACACTATTCCTAAAAGCATAATATGTCCCGATTAATGAGTTGTTGAGCATTTGTTTAATACCAAACAAAGTGACAAGTCTCTTGATGAACATTATGGTGTTTTGAAATGTTTATAGGAAGACTTTTTGCTCTATCAGTTGTTGAGTGAGGATTTGGAGATCCAGCGCTGTCAGCGTGAAGAGTTTCAAGCTGTCTTGTTATTATCTAGTCTTAATTATGAGTATGGTGTGTTTAAAGGCCAGATTTTAGCTAGTGAGAAACTTTCGACTGCTGTCAATGCTTATTCTCTACTTCACTGTGCTTCGCAGACTCATGGGTGGTCGTAGTGGTGGCTGTAATGGTGGTCGTGGTGGTGAACGTTGTCCAAGCAAAGGTGGTAATCGTGGTGGTAGAGGTCTTGGTCATAAGGATGTGGTGGTCGTACAGGTCATGGTAATCGTTCTAAGTGAAAATGTTGTTATTATAGGGCCACTAGACATACAGAGGATTAATGTTGGGATAAGAATGGAAGATCTGCCTATGCTAATCAAGCCTTTGATGACTGTGCTCCACCCATGCCTCGGCCTTCTACTTATCAAATAGTTATTCGCTCTCTTTACAGTTGTCAACTTTTGTTGCGGGGTTGGCTAATGCAGGTAATTCGACGTATGTGGCCTCTCAATCAACTTTATCATCTTGGATTATTGATTCAAGAGCTAGTGTAGACGTGTCTGGTATTGTGTTAGCTGNGTCTCTCAATCAACTTATCTTGGATTATTGATTCAAGAGCTAGTGTAGACGTGTCTGGTATTGTGTTAGCTGATGGTTTTTTTCAATTGGTGCGTGGGACTGGTGATCTCCATCCTACTCCGTCCATGTCTCTTTCATCTGGATTATTTATTCCACACTTTCCTTTTAATTTGTTATCTGTGAGCTGGTTAACAAAGTATTTATCTAATCTTTAGAGACATTTACTATTTGCTGGCGACACTTAGGTGTTTCTGAGAGGTTACAAACGATCCATGGTCAATCTGTTAGCTTAATCCATATGAGAATGCTTCAGGTTAGAAAGTAAAACAGACAAAAAGGCTCAATGTATTGATCTTCAAAAATTGCTCAAGCTAGAAGGAATGTATTAGTTAATGCTGCAAGTATTCCCATTACAGACTCTCATTTTTCTTATCTGGGACGTCCTCTCATCTAAGGGAGAACAAAATTGATCTATTTTGAAGTAGTACTACGAAAATGGAGGGTTGATATTCTAGAATGCTATCTAATATGGGCAGGGTCGTTTTGGTGAAATTAGGGTTGAGTGCTAGTCCTATCCATTTTTGTTGGCCTGCATTAATCTCCTAAAAGGTATAATTGCTATGCTGAACTCTGCTATGGCAGCTTTTATCTGGGCAAACAAAACAGATGTGAAGAAGAGACTCTGGTGTTCATGGAAGGACATAACAGTTCCAAGAAGGTTGGGGGGGGGGTGTTAGGATTAAGAAGGTTTGAAGATGTTGAAAAGGCTTTTAGAATCAAACAGGTGTGGAACCTACTTAAAGCTTCTTCATTATGGTCAAAGATTTTTTCTGCAAAATACCATAAAAACCAGCATATTTTTAGTAGTATAAGAAGACCTTATTCAAAATGTTTCAAAGTTCTAGCCCCATGGTTTGAAGTGGTGGTGTTTAATTCTCAAATGATAGTTGGTTCTGGGGAAAATACTGACTTCTGATGTGATAATTGGTTAGGAATTGGCCCTTTGATTTTGAGATTGAATGAAGTTCCTCAGTATTTTCCAAAGATCTTTGAAGTATTTAGTGAATCTGAGCGGAAATTAGATGGAGTTAGATGATGGTTAAATGATCAGCTCATTCATGAGATTATTTCATCGAATGTATGGCCTGCTGTGAGGAAAGAACAGTTAGCATGGAAGTCATAAGAAACAGGATTATTTTCTGTTAAATCTGCTTGGGATTTGGTGAGGGAGCATGGTCCGTTGAGTGTTTCAGCTTAAGTGATATGGAAGCAAAATATTTGTCCGAGTGCTCAATTAATTGGGTGGAAAATTCGAAAAAATGCTTTACCATTGGATTCCAGAATACAAAAGTTGGGCATTCCATTGGCAAGCAAATGTGTTTTTTGTTTCAGAGATTCTGAAGCTTCTTCTCATCTTTTCATAGATTCTGATTTTGCAAAAGAAGTGTGGAGGAGGATAGCATCACTAATGGGGTTCCAGCAGATAGCAAACGATAATCCATTCTTTAGATTTCTCAGGATAATGAGAATTTTCAAAAAGCTATCTCTAAGTCAAGAATTGATTAGAGGAAATCCTTTAATTATATTTTGGCAGCGTCAGAAAGAGAGGTGCAGGCATGTGTTTCAAGGCTCTAAGCTTCTTGCCTCATCTATTGTTTTGAAAATTCTGGGCATTATAAACCTTCATGCTTTTGTTGCTCACCCAAAGGTGGTTGATTCCTTCCAAGGCAGAGAGCATCTTAATTTTTAAAATGTCCAAGTTACTTTTTTGGTGAAGATGAAAACTGTTTGGGTTTGTTGGAATTATCCTTCAGAAGGTATTCTTAAACTCAATGTAGATGGAGCTTCTAAAGGAAACCCAAGTCTGTCTGGTGGAGGAACAGTTCTATGCAACCATTGGGGTCAGATGATTTTTGCAGCTTCCTATTTTTATGGTCTCTGTACTGACATGGGAGCTGAATTGCAGGCATTGAGGGATGGTCTTAACCAATTTGACAGATTTGGTTTAGTGGATTACAGGGTGACTATCGAGTATGATTCTCAAATTTTGTTAAGAATGATTCAAATTCCCTGGAAATATTGGTACGCACTTGATCAGATTTTGGCTTTGTTGAGAAGATTTGATTTTGAAATTGTACATATTTTTTGGGAGGCAAACTCGGTGGCAGATTTTATGGCAAATAAAGGGGATGGGGATAGGGCTCCAAGTGAATTCGCTTAATCAAATTTACTACCAACTCAAATTTACAATCAAACTGCTATTTTCATCGCCAATAATTCAGTATTTCATGTGCGTACTAAGCAAATTGAAGTGAATTGTCACTTTATTCCAAATTTTTTGGTGCCGACGGAGATTGTCACTCCGAATATCAAATCTAGTGACCAGTTGGGTGACATATTTACAAAATCATTCCCTCGGTTTGCCTTCAATGAACGTTGATCCAAACTGAGCATTTTTTATCTTTATACTCTATTTTGAGGGGGAGTGTTACGAGTATTTTTTATGTCATTATTTATAATGGTTCAATATTAGTGTAATATTGTAATTATCCTCAATCATAGTCTAATATAAAAAAGAGGATGTCGAGCAACATTGCAAACACTCAAAGATTAATATTTCTCAACCACGCTCTCTCTCTTTCTCTTCGCTTTTTCTTTCTCAAACCCTAATACCTATTTTGAATATTCAACTAAGTTAATTATTTCCCCAAATGCAGTCAAATCTAATATATTCCATTAATCAGACAAATTTATCCCCAGATGCAGCCACAACTTAATAAATTTATTAATTAAGTCAATTTTGTCCCTCGATTCGGACCAAATCTAATTTGTTGCATAAATTAGTTTTCTCCAACTAAAACTATGTCCCATCACCAACCACCTCAATTTGGAACTAATAATCACTAACACATACCACCATCCATCGGTTCCAAAATCGTAACCCTACCAATGGCATCACCACCACCTGGTCCATCATTAAACCTTAGAATTGGACCACCATCCACCACCATTGTAATGAGCAACAAATTGTCATCACGACCACAAACACTGCTCTTCTCTCTCAGTATCAGTCTCCCTCTTGATACATATGCAAAACCACAAACACCAAGCCCTACCAGTAGAACCACCCCCACCCCAACCTACCCCACACTAGATACATAGAAATCAAATATGGATATATGGCTTCCACCATTACAACCAGAAATACACCAATAAAGAATACACAAAAACTCAGACAAAATAAATATGCCCTCACTCCTGAATTGCCATGCCACCTACTTTATCACTCCATTGAAAATCCAGTCTTTGCTTCTTGACATCAGCATGCCACCACTCTGCTCTCCTAGGTTTGTGTGCATCTTGGCCGGTAGTTCAATGGCCACTTGAGCTAGACAGCCATTGAAAATAAGGTCATAGCTGAATAACTAACAGTTATTGCTGCCGAGTCAAAGACAAACACATATGATGGACTGCCACAGACTGACCACAGGTTCATACTTTGTTTGAGGGAGTAATCCCCATTTAACTTTGAACTTCAACCTGACCTGTGCAAGTGTGCAAAAGGCCTTTGATTGCGTAATTATTCCTCCAAGGACCCACTTAAGTGTTTAAGTAACACATCAGCGTTACTTTAGACATTTGTGGTATCAAGAATGTTTTGCATAAAACAATTGCCAAGCCCCTCAACACACAGCAGAACATGGAAATGCGCACACAGATAGACATTCACATACATATACAAGTGCAAGCACAAACATGCACCAATGAAGGCAGGTGGTCCAGAAAAAGGAAACAATTGCTTCCGTGTCTCTAAACTATCAATATCTTCAAACCAATAAGAATGAGCATCCACAATCCACAATCCACATACAGACAGATGTTTTCTTGACAGCCCAATCAGTCTGCTCGATTAGTATCCCTGAGGTATTTGTCAACTAATTATTTGAACTTTATGCTTATGTCATGGTTTCTTCGCACCTATCTTGTTAGTCACAGCCACAGTTCATATAAACTGACATTGCATGGAGGCAATAAGTAACAAGAAAACTAGCAATTTGAATAATCAATATTAAGTTGCTGGAATAAATATATGCATAATGAGGCATTACCGAGAAGTCATTGCAAGATGCATTACTCGTTGCTTTTGGAATGAACATTGTTCCACAAGATCCAGGGTAAACTCATCCTTTGCTTCCTAAAGGATGACAAAATTGAAGTCAAAGAAATTAATACAAGCAAAAATACGATTGAAATTCTGAAACTCAATAGTGAAGTAAACAGGCCAAATCATTTTTTATTTTTTTTCATTTCAAAACTGCACAGAAAGCTTTGTTGAATTTAGTTGCTTGTAAGTTGTACTGCCACTTTAAAACAGTTACTTTTGACACCAAAATAACTCATATCAAGAACTCATGAGAGATCTGATTTGTCAAACTAAGGTGATAAGGCCAAAAAGATCTTACTCTTCCCAATAACCTAAAACCCAATAAGCACATACCAGATGGCATTACTTATGCCACGTCAATGATGCTGTCCACAGAATATCAATTATAACACATGTTGGTAAGGCTAAACCTTATATGCTTCTGCTAACCTGAATCTAATTATTTCCTCTAGAGTCTAGACTCTAACAGCATGCATCATCTAGAACTTAAAAGTTTCAGCCACATCAAAAATGTATTAGACTAATTAGGTATGATATATATACTATCTGGAAAATATGTGTTTCATTTTTTCAGAAACTGTAACTTCAACTCCATTAACTTATGAATCTTGCAGCCAAACACACTCATTACAGAAGTACTGAATCGAAGTAGTCATTTACACAAGTTTTCATGGGAGAAAACTGAATATTCTATGATAACTCCATTTGTGATGTGCTTAATATAACACAACAAATCCCAAACCCAATAGAGGATGGCAATGTTAGGAGCACATATGAGCATGAATCCTATTGAAAAGATACAAGTAAGGGCGCAGCAATGGCGAAAAAGGATTCATGTATCCCGCCTCAAGCAATTAGAACTGATATTTATTTTGTTTGGTGTGTAATTACGTGTCATGCTGAAAATAAAAAAACAATAATTTAAATCATTTGTAGTTGAAGTCAATATAACAATCATTTGTGCTACCCATGAAGATACCTCAGGATGTTGAGCATCAACGGCACCAAGGACTTCCCTTAGAACATCTAACGCAGCACCAGCCTTCTGAATTATACTGTATGAAATTGATAAATTAAGGATTTGTTTAAAAGCAGGTGAGAAGAACTTTTCATGTTTCAGGGATTTCTTCACCATGGGTACAAAAATAACTACAAGGCATAAGTATGGCATAAAACATGTAAAATTATGAACAAAGGTCTCACATCATTTGAAAATCAACTGTTGTAACATGACAAATCAACTTTCTAGGGGACACAAATAATATTTTAACGTACAGTTCCATCTACCATAACATTCCACCAGACACTAACTCATTTCTCGACGCAAGCATAAACTGCCAATATATCCAAAACCAGACATGCTAAATTTGTTCTTAATCGAAAGAAATTCGAGCTTTTGGTTTTCAGGAAAGGATGACCTTAGGGAGATCCTGGATGTGGAAGAGACCAACATCGGAAATTGAAAAACCTAATATGAGCCTGTCAACTTACCAAGAAAAAAGAATTACAATGAAACATTTGAACAAATGAACTGGTGGCACATACAACAAATGTGCAATCTCAAGAGGGATACTTTGTTATGATAGGCCAATCTCAAGAATTTTATGGCATTGCTCAAATAAGGAGGAGTACCCATGTAATTATTCAAGAGGTTTTCCTATTACAAAATTCAGGAGACCTCATTGTTATTATTGAAATATTGGGGCTTCTTGTTTGATAACAGTGAGAGTAGTTTATTTACACAGTTGTGGATTATGCCTATGTGGGAGATACCAACAGACTAAGTCATATTTGTCACTTAATAATATNTTTCGGGATTGAGAGTAGTTAATTTACACAGTTGTGGGTTATGCCTATGTGGGAGATACCAACAGACTAAGTCATATTTGTCACTTAATAATATAACATCGATACAAAATTTAAAATCTGAACCACAAATAGTACATTGGTTACATGTACTTTTGAGATCAACTTAAATCAGGAGCACTGCTCATTTTTCTTTTAGTTTCTGTTTCTTTTCTAAACCAATGATACATTTCAAAGTAGGTAAATCTTAGGCACAAAAAAAAACCTGGAGACTGAAAATCTGCCAAGTAATATCCCTCAAAGCAAAACTAACAGCAATGCACCAAGCTTAACAGGTGTAAGATATGCAAATACATGGGCTAAAATATTGATTTCCACTAAGAAGTTCCCCAAATTGGTGGNTAACAGCAATGCACCAAGCTTAACAGGTGTAAGATATGCAAATACATGGGCTAAAATATTGATTTCCACTAAGAAGTTCCCCAAATTGGTGGGCGTGTATCAACAGAATAAAATGGGAGAGACTGTCATTGTGGGCACATAAGACACTACAATGAATCAACTTTATGAGGTAGGGGCATAGCATAAACCACCCCTTAATTTAATTTATAAAATTGCAGTAGTAATAAAAAAGCTGCAGTGTGTGTGCGGAAGTGAACAGAAAGATAAAGAGGAGAATAGACTAACAGTTTTCCCTTCTCAGGACAGTACAAGGGACATAGAGTCCAAAAAGTCAATTATAAACAAAGCAAGAGCTACCTGGATTCAGGAGCAATCTGAGTCTCTGCTTGTGGTGCATTCCTGTCATGTCGAGAAGTAACAACCTCCCCGTCAGTTGAATTATCTTTACTCATGTTTGAAGTAGGATGACTACTTGGGATAGTATTAGACCTTTGAGGAAATTGCACCCCGGCACTCTGAAAAGGGCGCACTTGATGAAGGTTTCAAAATTATAAAAGTAATAACCGTAAATTTTCAGATACCACCAGAAAACACCTTACATGAAGATATCATGCAGGAACAGGAACAGTAATTGAAAGATAATGAGCTCATATGGAATGCAATCTACATACAAGGGAGGCTTGAAAATAGAAACTTGTTTAATGAAGATCTTACCTGTATGCTTTTGTTTCCAATACAAGACAGTAATGTAATAGATTTTAGAGATAGAGGGACTGTAACTAACATATTGTAGTAATGAGGATCCAATATCTGTCTCCAAGATTACAAGTGTTAATATTTATCAATGAAAGAGGAAAAACATATTCATTTAAGAATAAATAGATCTGTATTACAGACTCACAAAAAAGACAAACTACACAATAATAGTCTTATATACTAGGGCAAGACATAGTAACGTAAATGACTAATCTACCCCTACTGTTAATATGCTACTCCTTCTGTTCTTAAATATCTGTTGTTTAAGGTTTTTGCATAGGGATTAAGGAAGCTATTAAATAGTTGTAATATGAGTAAAAAATAATTGTACAAGACTAAAATACTCTTATTTAATACGTATTGGGAAGGAAAGGAATATGAAAGATACTTAGTCTCCACTTAATCTAATGTATTTAAAAGTTAAGGATAAATTTGGAAGAAAAAATATTAATTATGCTTTGGTTTCATAAAACAACAGATATTATGGAACAAAAAAATTGTGTAAAACGGCAGATATTTAGGAACGGAGGGAGTAATATACTAAATTACTCTAACATCTCCCCTCAAACTCATGATGTGATAGTATCAAACATCAAGAGTTTGCCAAAGAGAAAACAAAAGCATACAATAGTGTGAGATTTTGTGAAGAAATCAGCTAATTGCATATTAGGAAGAAATTATGAGAGAGAGATCGTGTTAAGTTGAAGATGATAGCACACAAAGTAACAATTAATCTCTATATGTTTGGTGCACTCATCAAACACCAAGTTGTGTGCAATCTGAATAGGACTGGTGTTATCATAATACAGATAAGTAGGAATAGTCAAAGAAATGCCAAGATCAGCAAGCGACCAACGCAACCAAACTATCTTTGCTATGATGGATGCCATAGCACAATACTCAGCTTTAACAGAAGATCGAGCTACAACAGTTTATTTATTACTTTTCCAAAAAAATAAGAGAATCACCAAGAAAGAAACAAAAACCAATGATAGATTTGCGATCCATACAGTCACCAGCCCAGTCCGCATTAAAGTAAGCACGGAGTTCTAGAGACGAAGAGGAAGAAAATAATAAACTCTGATATAACATACCCCATAGATATCGAAGAATCAGACGAACAACAAACCAGTGAAGTGTGATAGGAGCAGAAACAAACTGACTAACCACATGAACCGCATAAGTAATATCTAGACGATTAACAATAAGATACACCAAACTCCCAACAATAGTACGATATAAGGTAGGATCAAACAGGAAAGAACCATTAGAGGAAAAATAACAAACGTTGAGCTCCAATTGTGTGTCATCTATTTGAGTATCCGATAAACAAGCTCGCTGAATAATATCTAAAGCATATTTTAACTGAGAAAGAAGATAACCCTTGGGAGAGGAAGCAATCTCAATCCCTAAGAAATATCGAAGTAGGCCCAAATCTTTTATCTTAAAATAATCCTATAACTGAGTTTTCAACAACTGAATTCTAACATTATCATCGCCTATAATAATCATGTCATCCACATAAAGTAACAGAAAAATGAAACCAAAAGAAGTGGATCGAACGAAGATAGCAGAATCATGATCATTAGCACAGAAGCCCAAGTCACATATGGACTGAATAAAATTTTGCAAACCATGCCCTCGGGGCCTGTTTAAGACCATATAAAGCCTTGTGAAGTTTACGCACATGACCAGGACTACAAGGCAATCCAAGAAGAGGAGTCATATAAACCTCTTAAAATAAATCACCATGAAGAAAAGTATTTTTCACATCTATCTGATATAAGCTCCACTGACAAACAAATGCCATAACAATTACTGTGCGAATTGTGGTCATCTTAGCCACTTGAGCAAAGGTCTCATCATAGTCAAGCCCATACTTTTGAGCAAATTCCTTGGCCACTAATCTAGTCTTGTACCTTTTCACAGAATCATCAGATTGGGTTTTGATTTTATAAATCCACTTATAACCAATGGGGCGTTTATCAGGAGGTAAAGGCCCCAACTCCCAAGCTCGAGTTTTATGTAACGAAGAAAGCTCCTCATTCATAGCCTGTTGTCAAAGAGGACCAAGTATAACCTCCTTATAGGAGGTTGGTTTAGACAGAGAATGTATAGAAGTCAAGAAAGAACAAAAATCAGAAGAGCAACAAGAGTTGGACCAACCAAATCTGTCAGGACACTTCCGAGTGTGCGGAGGATAACGGGGAATGTGATCCACAGTGCTAGAATTTGATTGGGAGTCAAGAGGTGCAGATGAAGGCAAAACATCTTCGGAGGAGACAGTTGGAGTCCTGCGAACATAAGTATGTACAACAGGAGAGCAGGTAACAGACAAATCAAACAAATAGAAAGAAAAAGAGGAGGGAAGATCAGCCACAATCATATAACCAACATAGGAATCAGGGAAAACATTAGAGGGAAATGGATCAAGATAAATAAGATCAAATTTATATAGAGATGAAGAACTAGATGGAATAGAGAAAAAAGAAATATGCTCCATAAAAATAACATGGGGAGAAAAATAGAGTTTTTGTGCACTGGGATCATAACACCGAAATCCCTTTTGTCCCTTATCGTAGCCAAGAAAAATACAAAAGGTTAAACGAGCCGAGAGTTTGGTACGATTAACACTAGGTAGCAGAACAAAACATGTACATCCAAATACACGTAAGGAGAAATAGTTAAGTGTCTTACTACATAATTTTTTAAAAAATGAGACATCAGAATTAAAGATTGTAGGAATGCAATTAATTAGGTGAACTGTTGTAAAGACTATTTCTCCCCAAAAAGAGCTAGGGACACTGGATGACAATAATAGAGAACGAACTGTCTCAATAATGTGACGATGTTTCCGTTCGGCCACTCCATTCTAAGCAAGTGTGTTGGTACAAGAAAATTGAAAAACAATATCATCAGATTTCAACAAATCACGAAAAGTACTAAAATAATATTCTCCACCTTGATCACAGTAGAAACATTTGATGATAGAAAAATATTGAGTACGCACCATAGCACAAAAAGTAGTAAAAATGAAAAAGAACTCAGACATATGTGTCATCAAATATACCCAACAATATCTGGTATGATCATTAATAAAAGAGACATAATATCTAGACCCCCTTTAGTAGCAATAGGAGCTGGTCTCCAAATATCAGAATGTACAAGATCAAAAGGTGCAAGAGAACGAGAATTACTTTTATTGAAAGGTAGCCAACTTGCAAGCACTATAATCTAAAATATCATGACACTCTAAACTACCTAAACTACTAGTAGAAGCTAAAAATTTTAAACAAGAATGAGAAACATGACCTAAACGAAAATGTCATAAATAAAAACTAGACGATTTTGGACTCAATTGAAAAGAAGATAAATCAACAGTAGATGTAACAACTTCAAGGACATGAAGCTCGTCCAACACATACAACCCTCCATTTCTATGGCCGGTCCCAATCAGTTTCTTGGACCGTAGATCCTGCACAATACAACCAATAGAAGAAAAGTGAACTAAAAATCCCGAATCAAACAACTGACTAACAAAGATTAAATTTAAAGTAAGTTGAGAAATATATTAGACTTCAGGAAGTGTAAGTTGGGAAGACACGATAGTTCCAACACTAGCCAAAGACAATCAGGTGTCATTGGCTGCAAGGACAGATATAGAGGGAGGAGAAACAAATAAGGAAGAATTACTAGTTATATGATGGGTGGCTTCTGAGTCCAAGACCCAGGCAGTTTGAAATATACTTGAAGGACCTATAGTGAATGAACCTGTGGAGGGAGAAACTGATAGGGCACCTGGTTGATGAAGGGAAAAAAACTTCTACAATTGACCAGCTGTCATAGTCATGCTGGAAGCTGATGGGAGTGACTCATCCATTAGTGAAGCAGCTGTTGTTGTATGACAATCTTTGGGCTTAAATGGTTGATGTAAGGCTGCATTGGCATCTTGTTCATCAATTTAGGACATTGAGCCTTTCAATGACCCTTCTCATGATAAAAACTACATTCATCTTAAGTAGCTCGACCCCGATATTTAGTCTGAGTGAGAAGTCCCTCTAGGTGGTACAACTAGTACAATCTGATTAAACAATAAAAGAAGACCCTTTCCAGAAAGAGTCTTAAGATGGACTTCTTCAGCCAGAAGCTCATTCACTACTGTATCAACTGTGGGAAGTGGGAGGCGATGGAGAATAGAACCACAAAGTCCCTCAAAGTCATCTCTAAGGGCCATCAAAAATTGCACCAACTACTGCTCCTCCCTAAAAGTACGATATACCATATGAGTACTCAATTCAGCAGGTTCAACAAGTGTTAATTGATCCCAAAATTCAGTCATAACTGAGTAAAATTCCTGTATGGTCTTATCACCCTGACATGCAGCTTGAATTTCATGCTCAAGCTGAAATCTTTTTTCAAAATTGAACTGAACAAACAATGTAGCTAAATAATCCCAAATTTCCTTGGTTGTGTTAAACTTAGCCAAATGCACACCAATTGTTTGATCAACTGAGTTGTTAATCCAAGTGATGATTTTAACATTGTTAACTTTCCAAGTATTCTTTAAGTCATCATATTTCTCTGCCTTCAGATCTGTTGGAGCTTACAAAGCACCACTAACATAACTCCACGTCTCTTTCCCAACAAGAAATTCTTCATAACATAAGACCAATATACATAATTTTTACCATTTAAT